TATTATATTATATTATATTATGTATAATGTTATTATATTATATCCCCGCAGGTGGGAGAAAGGCCACAGGACGCGAGCGAGTCGAGAGGCGACGTCAGGGCGGGTGCTGTCTTTCTTGCTCACTGAAGGCTCAGCTTCCTGAGGCAAAAGGCAAGCATCGATGTAAGTTCGGAAGGACGCTGCGACGGGGTTTTGCTCCCGTCACACGCGACTGAATCGGCTTTGTGGTTCAAAGAGTGTGTAGACAACGGGACGCAGTCATTAGCCGGGTGCAGCTCTTGGGGCCATGCTGAAGGCCACTGTGAGGCCGCGGCCCATCTATGTGCACTTGCTCGCGGCATGCCTCGTAGGACTCGGCATGCAAGCCTTTGCTGGCTTTCCTCGCTTGCAGTCCCATCAAGAATCCCGGACAGGGGCATTGCGGCAAGCAGTTCCCATGACCGGAAGTTCAGGCGGAAAGGGCGGTGTGCTCCAGGCCTTCTTTATGGGCAAGCGGGTGGATTGGTCGCCGGCGCTCGACGTGGCAAGCAAGGCGGTGGAAGTGGGCGGCGAGATGCCCTTGGGGGTCCGCTTCGAGCGCCGAGAAGACGGTGTCTCGCGAAAATTCAGAGGGCCGAGCTTGCTTTGAGGTCGTTGGTATTTCGGATGTTGGGGACTTTCGCCTGACGTCTGTCTTAAAGTCTCGGAGTCTCTGATGCTGCATTACGCCGCATGTAGCATCTCTTTGGCAACTCAACTTGCGTCTTGCCATCTAGGTGCCTTTGTCATCACTGAAATCATCGGTGGTGGATCTGCTTCTGTGGGGGAGCTGGATGTACAAGTTGGAAACATCATCCATGCGGTTAGCTGCTCCGTGGGAGGCAAGAAAGAGATAACGAGCGCCTTCGAGGTTGATTCCATTGACAAGATGTCCCAAGCGATCCTGTCCAACGAGGATGAGAGGGTCCAGATGTTAGTCGAGAAGCCAGATGAGGGTGCCGCTGGCTCCATCAGCTTCTTGACCGACGTGGCGACGAAGTTCTGAGCTGCCTCCAGGCTGCAAAGAAAGCAGATTCGGATTCAGAGAGGGGTCACAAGAGGCAGAGGTGAAATGCCAGGGTCACAGCCGTGTTCTCTGCGATTCATATTTCTGGCCGAGCACACTTGAGGAAGAGGGAGTTCGCACACGGCAGGTCGAAGCTTTCAAGTGTGAACGGCCTCATACTTCAGACTCCCCCCATCTCCCAGTGCCCAAGTGCTTCCAGTTCCCCAGCCCAGCCGGGTTCGTGCCTGGCCTGGGGACTTGGGGGTTAAACTCCGTCTTGGGCCTTTGGAGTTCGGCTTCCCTCGGCCTGTGCGAGGTCAGAGTCTGCAGAGCGAAGACAGGAGTCGAACTGCCAGGAGTGAGGAGGCCATCCATAGGCCTTGTGGTTTCTCAGTATCCCGGTGTAGTGGCGTAGCAGTTTAGCCATGTAGGCGCTCTTCTCTCTCCTTGAAACACAAGGAGAACAGTTTCAGCCGACCGACAACTCCAAAAAGGTGTTGTGCCAGTTTGAGGGAGAATGCATGTCTCATGGGTTTTCCTCACGCTGCATCTGCAGGCTGCCTCTCGCCGCTCACAGGAATCTGTGAGACACGGCCTCTATGGACTATGAGCCCGCTTGGGGCTCAGCATGAAATTTTCCAATCGCCTCCTGAAGCTATTGGCAGTCAGGATGGGACGCAAGAGCTGCTGATTGACTCGTCCCAGGAGCCCCTGAGCGAAAGCGCACTCGAGAGCACTGCCCTCAAGTGCTCGAACAGTCGCTTGCGCAGGAGAGAACTGCGAGACGCACCGAGCACCTGCTAGTGGCAGCAAGGCGTCCCCCGCACGTCGACATCGTGCATTGCCCTGAACCCAAAACCACTTAAACCCAAAGCCCTTAAACCCCTAAACCCCCCAAATCACCAAACCGTAATCCCCTAAACCCCCAAACCCTTCCCTGCGTCAGGTTGTCCTTCTTTTTCTTCCATGGCCTCCTCATCATCTCGGCCTCCCTTGGCTTCGAGGCAAAGAGCTCTCCGGAAAAGGGTTAGGGGGTTCAGGGCCTTTAGGGTTTCGGGCCTTTAGGGTCTTTAGGGTTTCAGTGCTGGAATCCAGAATCTAAAAAGTGTCGGTAGAAAAGCCTTGCAATCGGCATCTGAAGACCTCTGAATCTTTAAAGCGGTGGGGCTGTCAGCGGCAAGCGAACCTCGAGTCTCTGTTTGCAGAGTGGGGTGCTTTACGAATCCGCGAAGGCACGTCGTGAGTCGTCTTCTTAACTCGCAATAGGTTCCCTGTTTCATTGCTTGGCATGTCCAACTTCTGGGCAAGCTCTGACAGGAAGTGTCGTGGTGGCTGATCTTTACCCCTGCGTGGTCGCTGCCTTGACTTGATGCCCGAGCATCCTGCACTTGACGTGTTTTGCCCAGGCTGGGAGATGTGGTTTGCCTCGTGCTCGTGATTCTGTCCTGGTTTGGCTCTTGCCCGTGCGATCCCAAGATTCGAGCCTGCATGTCGATATGTTGTGATCCATTGTTGTCATGTCGTTGCTGAAATGTTGGAGGTACGTCCAATCCTGTCTGCAAGAGCGGCAGGCCGCCTGGGGCTGGGTCATGCTTGGAACCGTTGAGACGTTCATCTGGCTGATTTGCAGATCAAGTTTAGAGACTCATCGATCGAACATTCGTCTTTCTGAAGCCTCTTTTGTTGTCCCTGTGCTAGATATGCTCCACTCCCTGGCTCCCACCCTGCGAGCTTCGAATCTCCGTGCATTTGACTTGATATGCTTGATTTCATGTTTCGCTGGTCTTGAAGTTGAGGGATATGCTAGCCATCTTTCGGATATCTCTCCTTCTCGGAGTCAGGGATTGGTGGCCGTCATTCCTTTGAATCACTAAGGCTTGCAGTTTCTGCTGTCAAAGTCACTTGCTGGCTACAGGAGGATGCGCTGCTTGTTGTTAGCCTCATGGCTGTGGACTCTTCGTTGGCTTTGGATTTGCGAGTGTCCGGTGATGCGCTCGTCGACTCTGTTATGGGAAGCTCTGATCGTCGCGAAGGTCCCTTCAAACCCAAGCCCCAACCCCAAAGCTTAAACCTTTGCCCTGAAACCTGAAAGCAGAAAGCTGTAAAACCCTATGCCCTAAAGACCCTAAACCCCTAAACCCCTAAACCCTAAAGCCATGAATCCTAGACCCTTCTCATGGGTCGGAGTGCAGCTTGACAGTTCTCACGGCTTCGCATGGAAGCAAGAAGCCAGGCGCGGCTTGGAGACACAAATCCGAGCATTCTGACGGACATCCTCCCGGACATAGGAGCCGGGGGCAGTGAATTTGACTGGAAGTCTGACGGTCTGGTGAATTCGTGGCCTTGGTGTCGTAGCTTTAGGCATCTGCGAGCTTTGCCAGTCATGGGCATCTTGTCCCTCATTTACATGCTTCTTGCTCTTGTGGCGGAGCTCCTCCTGTGCAGGCCAGGTGGGCCCGTTTTGCTTAGCTTGTCGCTGTGCTATGCAGCCGTGCCGTGGCGCTGTGCCCTGAGCTGCGGTGCCCTGTGCCAGATACCTCAGCGAGCTGAGTCACGGCTTCGATGCGGTACCCGTGGCACCGGTAACAGCCAAACCGGCCAGAGTTGCCTTCAGACATCTAGCTTGTGCTGCACTTCGAAGCACTTCACCCCCATGCTCGCAAACTCACGCATTTGTAAAATGTCCATAAATGTCCCACGACCCAAAGACTGATCTTCATCTGCTTGCAGGGGCCTGTAAGTTCGAACTGTACATTACGCCTTCACCATACCCTCAGTCCTGCCACTGCTGTTCTGCTTGCAGAATCTGTCAGGTCATCATGCTGGTATCTATCTTGACCTGTTGTCGAGGCCGGCACAGACTTCGGACCTCTTTGGTCGTGCGTTTGAGTTGAAATCAACACCCTGTTCCATCTTGCAGGACTCTGCATCTTCACCGTCGTCCTGTCATGTTTGTAGGTAGTCTTGAGTAACATCTTGCTGGAGGCTGAACCCGCGTCCCCGCGTCGGGAACCGAACCGATGTCGAAAATTCGGCACAAAACCTGGTTCATGCTCAGAAGCTTGTCAGGGATCATGGTCACTGCGGAAAGAACGATAGAGCCCGAACAAATGCAGCGGCTTTCCTGCCGTCAATAGCTTGACTGATGCATGTCGTGGTCGCCCTGGGTTCGGGATGCATGGTGTCAGGCCTGGAATCACAACACAATTCTGAAGCGACACTTAGTCGAATGCAATTTTGAAGGCGATGCGTCTGTATTTGACTGAGAAACTCCACGTCTGCAGCGAAGCGAGCCTGTCTCTCTAGCTTTAAGCCCAGCAAATCCCCAGCAGCATTTACTTCCTCACGTCGTCCCCTATGGTGTCAAATACTGCCAGTACTACACATGCGCTTGTCCGGTCTGGTGAAATTTCTGTTCATCGTTCTGTGTTGCTTGGATCGTCGACTTTTTCGAGTCTGAGAGGCCGAGAGAAACTCTTTGCCGGAATGCCCCAGGGACTTGGGGCTGTCGTAGAAACTGACGGGTGATCCAATCGCTTGGCGTTGCTTTCAACAGCCCCAAGGTGCAAGACCAGGCTCAGCCTCCATCAGTTTGCAGATCCTTCCAGCGCGGGCAGAGAGGATCTTGTGGCCATGGTGCGTGGTCGAGAGCTTTCGGCTGCCCCCCATCGCGAAGTGTTGGGATGTGGGAGGGCTGGATTCCAGGCGCCTTGGCAGGTCCCTGGGGGTCTGACAGGGTGGCTTGATACAACCTCGCCCGTGCCCGAAGGCACAAGGGCTCGGTGGACTCCCTACGTAACATGTTTTCAATGTCTGAGATCAGTCAATGGAAGCTTCTTGTTGCACCTCAGACATGACTGGATGCCATGTGCTGCTGGCCTGTAGTCTTGTCGGAACGACGTCGCCTGGCTCTGCAGTACCCTTTGGCTGATGCGTTCCTGTCGTCAGCTTTGCTTCTCCTGGCTGCGGAGCACCGCATTGTCTTCGAAGCGGTAGTAGCTCTTGCATGGAACAGAAAGCTACACGTCGGCTGCATGTGGTGGTTCACGCAGATCACATGCCAGCATCATCTATGCATCTTCTATGCATCTCTCACGCCAGAACAGCGCTCTCTTCTGTTGCATCGGCCTGGCGGTTGCGGCCTCGGAGAGCTTCAGGCCTTCCCAGGACATGTTGTTCGCCTCCCAAGTCTCCCCAGGATCTCGCAGGCTTCTTCTTCCTCTTCTTCTTCTGCTGCTTTTTCTGGATGCTGAGGCTCTGTCTACTTGCGTGCTCCTGCTGGTCACGGAGGATGTGCCGGAAAGCCCAGCTTCCCGAAGACCTCGCGAAACTGGGACGAATCGCGAAGCGGGTCTGTCCAAAAAATATTGCTGAGGCCAGGGCCGACTTGGGAATGGAGCTCAGCTGGTCATCGCAGCATGCGGCGCGCCGAAAGTATAAAAGGTGCAGCAGCCGCCTTAGGTGCTCTTTGTGCCATGGGCAGCCGCCGCCCTTATCTCGGAGATCCTGCACGGTCGAAGATCTTCAGCTCAGTGTTTGGTCAAAGATGGCTCGGCTCGGTAGCGTGATCAGGTTCTCTGCCTCCTGCTCTCTGCCATATGTCAGCTGCGGCGCTGCCGCTGCATATTGTGCCGAGAGGAGCTCGGGGGAGTCTCCAGTGGGTGCCCTGTGATCTTCTTGGAACCTCGTGCGTCAGGAGCTGATTCTTCGGATTCTGGAGTTGGTGGTGTTGACATTAGCCTGAAGCCCAAGTGGGGCAACAGAGTTCCGCTAGTGCTGAAGCAGCTGCGATGTCCTGTGCTACCCCACTCCAAGGTCTTGGCATCTGTGCTGGCCGCAATGGTTGAGCTCTCGCAATCCCTCGCTCTAGGCGCAAGCTTCAAGAAGAGCAGCTTCTTCATCCAGTGAAGCACAGTCACAGGCATCGGAGATCGCCATGTGGGAATGGCGGGCATCGTGGCAGGGACAGGCCTGCTTAGTGTGCAACAAGGAACTGCAGGTTCAGAGCCTTCGGTTTGCCAGGTATTTGTGCGCTGGCTCTACTGCATGCGCGGATGGCTGTGGCCGAAAGCAGGCCGGTGTAGATTGAGCAAAGCACTGCAGACTTGCATGGGCTGGTGAAGGTTTGGTGCCATCAGCGACCGGCTCTTGATTGCTGAGATGAGATGTGGCGAGAATGTGGCAGCCTTAATACCCTAAACCCTACACGCTAGACCCTACACCCTAAACCCTAAACCCCTAAACCAAAACCCTAAACCCTAAACCGCTAAACCATAAACCCAAAACCCAAAACCCCAAACCCCCTAAACCCTGAACTCTGAACCCTAAAATGCCAACACTTTTCCATAGCCAACTCCATGCTCGAGGCCAGCCTCCCAAGCTCCGTTGCCTCTGTCAATCTGGAAGTCAGCGGCGCCTCTCTCTCAGCCGTGCTGTAGTCAGAAGAAAGGCTCGGAGTCCGAAATCCTGGAAGCCTAGGGCTTTTGGCTGCCTTGGGGCTTTGGGGTGCATCCGAGGACCTCTCATTGTCAGCAGCGGCAAGAAGTGGTAGCGGCTGGCAAAGCGGGCGAATGGTTCGCTTGGTGCCCCAGAACGTCACGACAGCAACGCCCAGCAACAGCAGTTTTCGGCAAACGGTTCGAGTCGTCCAAAGGCTCATCGCTCCTTTTGCGGTTTATGGTTGTCCACTTCTCCCCGGGCCTGGGAACGAAATCGACAAACCTGCAGGATACGTGCAGTCGGCGTCGTTCAACAAGCCAATCCACCAAAAGCGAATCCTTTGCAAGCGTAGCTTTCCTACTACCCTACACCCTACACCCTAAACCCTACTACACCGTTAATCACTGCCCATAATGCGTTTCGAGGTTACAGTCCCCTCGCAGCAACCAGGGCTGAAGGCTTAACTATCATCCTCTCCTGCTTTTGCCAGGGCCGGGTAGACACAACGAGGGTTTGCGGCTTGAGCAACATCGCGGCTTCAACGGTTCAGGGTGCCTTCAGCAGTGTAGTTTGTTTTTGGGGCTCCCCCCTCACGCACCAACTACTTGAAGTGGAGTGCAACCGGCGAAGTGTGCAGAAGTCTGGCTTGTGGTTCTTTTGAGCTTGTGAATGCAAGGATTTAGGGCATGCTGTAGGGGTGTACAGTGTAGAGTCCTGCCCGCTCGCGCAGCTTCGGTGTGTGTGATTCTCCGAATTTGTTCCTTAAGTCTTGCAGTATTGCGTTGTCCGACTCTTGTCGAAAGCTCAGATCGCTTGCCTATTCACTGCCAGAGCTTCGCCGTAGCCTCTATCGAACATCAAAAGCAGAGCAAGAGTTGCCTGTTAAAATGCCATTTCAACAGCGCTGAAGGTGTTGTTTGCCCACCTGATCCAGAGGCAGGTTGCGGATTCACATAGAAACTATAGGACTGTCGGAGCAGTCGACTGCTTTCATGCATCCATCATGTTGTGCATGGTTCAGAGTACAGGGGCCATGACAACGGCTGGTAGGCAGGCGATGCATCGTCGAACAGCGCTGCAGCTTCCGCCGAAGCGACATGATCGCTGAAAAGAACTTGCGAGCCCGCATCCATCTGCATCGATGCATATCCCTTCTGTTCTTGGGGCGTGACCGCTTGCATGTGTGTTTGTACCGTTTCAGCGATGTTGAATGCTCGCCGGCCTATGCTAAGCTACCTCGTCCGACCTAATGAGGCCGAGAACTCTTCCCTAACCCGAAACCCCGGAATATTGCACCCTGGGGCCTAGACCATCACATCCTTACAACTTGTAACGTGTATCTGGCAGAGCCGAGAAGCCGTAGACCGCAAGACCCCAATAAAAGCCCTAAGCCCGAAACCCTTATATGTATGTATATATATATATATATACATACATATATGTATATATATATATGTATATATATATATATATGTATACTAATATGATTGTATACGGTTTAGGGTTTATAGGAAACCCTCAAAAATGGGCCTTTGAGCCGGCGGAGCCTGCGGCCTCGGTGCAATGACACGATGCCCACGGCCATGCCAGTGATCCAGAGCGGTTTCTGGCAGGATGGAGGTGTGGCGGATTGCTAGGGTTCCGGGATTCCGATTGCGATGGCAAACTGCAGATGTTTCTGTGGTCTGTAAGCATCAAGAGCTCCAGCTGCAAGCTACTGTACAGTGTCACGTCGTCTTTGAAGTTAACGATGTGAGCTACTTGTGTGTCAGAAGGCCTTAGGGAGAGCATTCAAGCGAAGGCTGGCAGGCCAAGGCACTTTCAGGAAAGTCTTCGAGCAAATGCTTGCAAGATTCATTGTCTGGTAAAGACAGGAAATCAGGCACTCACCCGATCAGAGCGGATTGCATCAACACGAGAGGGCTTCCCCACGCCATCAATACTGACGCAGATCGTGCTGAGCCTCCATTTTGGCAAGCGACCACAACTGAGGATTGAAAGAAATGACCTGAGGTAAAGGACCAAAGCTCCGGGGGACTGTGCATCCTAGCCAAAACGCTGCAAGCCCGTACGCTTCGCAGTGCCGGACGACAATCGGAGCTGGTCGCAGCGACGCCCGCTGCGGACCTCATGAAAAGATCGTCCCCATCGTGGCTTTGAAAACATCGCTTCGTGTCGTCGTTCGTCTTCAGGCTTCTGCCTCGTGTGTACTTAGTCGCTCTGAAGTGGGGTGGGCCTTGTTGCTCTTGAAAACGCCTGCCTGGCGCTGACCTGGAGGCGTGCTGACATCCTTCGGAGTTTGCCCTGCGCCTGATGCCAAGGCTGCATCTGCAAGCTCGCTGACTGAGACAGGTTAATAGCTCACACCGCAATTGATGTGCCTTCCGAGCATTTAGCTCCGCTTTCCCCTGCAGCCTTTGGATGAGCAAGCGCCGGCGTGCTTGGAGAGCGGCCAGGAGCATTGAATTATGGATGTAGTGCCCTTGTGTTCTGCAGGATCTCTTGTTTTCAAACATATAGGAATCCTGTGCCGGGACACTGTATCGTGTCAGAAGTGCTCTTCCAAGGCACAGGATCAAAAAGGACACATGATATTCGACATGCCATGACACGCATGCACACGCGCAGCTGCATGAACACTTACATGATAGCTTTGACATACACAGTGTTTCGAATGCCTGCGCTAGGAGTTTTGAAGCTTCAGGGGTATCGATTAAACGATTGTAGGTTCTGAAACCTTTGGCAGCAACAAGCCAGGCAAAACCAGGAACAGTTCCTGTGGCCGGAGAAGGGGTTTGGGGCATGTGTGTGTGTGTGAAATGCAAGCAAGAAAGGAGTAAAGCACGATATCGACTCTTGTACATGTACATGTATACCTATCTATCTATCTATCTATCTATCTAGACATGCATATGCATGTACACACAAGTACATACACATGGAATATATATATATATATGTACATACACACACACACACATATATATATATATGTATATATATATATATACATATGTAAGAGAAACCTTTCTGTATAATGTG